TCGAAGAGCGCGCACACCCCCTCGATTACATTCGGAAATATTAGGGGACGTCCCGCCGTTCGACAAAACTATCAATTTATTTTCGTCTATTGATTGGCGCGCCCCGCCGCGCGATACACTGACCCCGAGATTTTTATCTCCTCTCGCGTATGCACGTTTTTACTCTTCCGTCGCTTCGCGAACGCGAATTCTCGATTCCGGATATTCTCAATTGCGACGAGCGACCGGGAGACATCGCGCACTTTTGATCAGTTTTATCAAGTACGTTAACCACATTTTTTTACCAATTTGAAATGGAATTTAAAATATTGTTTTTCATCAAACACTTTCATAATTATCAACATTAATTACGTTCTTCGTCGAACATATTTTTAACTTATGCGCTTCGCTTCCGAAAAAAATATTTTCGCCGAGAATCTCTCGATTGATGTGAAACGCGTATCTCGGCGTTTTGCACCGTCGCGTGTCGTTGCGCATTTTCGCGAACGGTACACCAAATATGTGCGCGCCGTAAAACGCGCTAGTTCCTCGCTCCGAGACGTTTAGATATATACATATATATATATATATATATATATAGGAGTAAAAGTCGGTGGACTATGTCCAAATCTATAGATTACGGCTGGTCATATAAATCATGGCCCATGGTTCGGCGGCGGGTTGAATGTTATCTCCCGCTTCCGGTTCGACGCATCGCCGACATTTCGCGCACATCGAGAATAATCCACGTGTGTGTGGGGACAGAGTTTCGTTTTGTACCAGAACGTCGGCGAATGTAGGAGAGATCGCCACAAAGCATATGCTGCCCGCTGTCCACTCCATTTACCTCCCTACGTCATCCGCCGTGATGATGCGGGACGGCGAGATAAGGGACGCGGCGGGAACGAGGGTGTTGTATCTCTCTTTTGTACATCGTTCCGCTTATATACGCGAGGATAGGAAAACTGGAGCACAGCGAAACACAGATATATTCCTAAGTGCGTCCTAATTTATATGTCGCGTGCGTACGTAAACGACAATGGCTTGTGCACAACATGGTGTGTGAAAACCACACACACATCTTAAAGCATATTCTTCGGACATCTTTTATATTTCTCGAATAAAAACAAAAAATGATTTACGCGACGGAGACGATATATTTTAATTTTCTGTGGATTTGAGTTGCGAGAAACAAAAATTTCTCTGCCCAAAAAATCGATTTAATTAAAAATATGGAATGTTTTTCTCAACTGATAACCGCGTTATCACTCGCGATAATTCGTTCTCTGCGCGAGATATGCGCGCGCGATCTTTCGTCACGTGTTTTTTCGGCACATTATCGCGCCCGACGTTCTGCTGATTAATAAAATTTTCCCGAGTCGATATACAATTATTATTATTATTATTATTACGCGAGCCCCGATAGAAACGGCGCGCGCGATTGCTGTTCGATAATTTTTTTTTAATCGCGAAACAAAATCATCGCCAGATAAGCGAGTTCGATTTTGTATTGCTTCTCTTCTCTGCTGCGGTCGAGCGATAAGTTACTCGACTGTGTATTACGCGCGTCATAACGCGAATAATGAAAAAGTTTTTTGGGGGTTGCGCACCGCGCGCCATCCAAAAGTCAAACGCGATATCCCCATCGAGACTCAATGGGGCGCCCTCAGGAAATCTAAACCGGTAACAAGATGGCCGCTCGGAAACGGAAACCGGAAGCTTGTCACTCAAGCTACGCAGGTTTCCGGCGTGTCCCGAAAAAAAAAAAAGGAAACGGTTCTGGAGCGACCGGGAAGAGAGAGGTGGATAGAGAAAAACAAAGAGAAAGAGTGGAGGGGGAAACACGTTTCGAGTATATTGTTATTTTCTCGGTTGAAAAAAAAAAAAAAAAAGAGTGTTAAAAGAAAAGAAATATTTTATTTTCGACGAAGAAAATGATGTGCGAGCGACCCGATAAAACTCTTTTGACGCGAGGTTTTGTTTTACTTATAAATAAATTAATGAAGTTTTGAAATATATATATATAATATATATAATATGTATATAAAAAACGAAAGAGGTGTGGAAGAAGCGAACACACACGACGTGTTAGTTGTTTTCGTAAGATTTATTAAATATGCATCTCTAATATATTAGTTCGCTATTTACCGATATATTAGTTCATTATATTATATCACTATATGTACTGATATATTAATTATTAGTTTATTTATTATACACAATGTACATATATACAACTTACAATATATATTTTAATTAATCGAGGACGAAGGATATCTGCGATTGCTCGCGGTGTCACGATCATTAAACCGTCTATCCCAACAACTAGGATACGTTAAAATTAATTAGTGTGAGGTGAGGTCATTGCAATGTGTATTTGACATCATCTTCGAGTTTTTAAGGAGATCGCGCAAGTGGAACAACAAATCTATACTCTCTCGAATTAATATCAACAAAATACTTGTTTGCTTCGGAAAGAAACAAAAAAGTTTTTGTCTCGTTTATTAAACGTCTGTTAAATAAATAATTATAATAATATGTATACTCGCGATCACATAGATAGATACGGTTATCTCGCAAGAGAATATAGAATTTGTGTTTTTCTAAGAGTTTTTATCAAATAAACACATCACGTGTCTCGTGAGTCTTTTCGATAAGATGAGAAGTAGTTACGTTATAGAGTTATGAGTCGTGAAGAGGAATGTGTGCTTACGCGTTACAATGTTTTTCTAAGTTTATTGAACGAACTCTCGGTGATTTGTGTGATTGCACATTGAACCGAGATATTGGGCGCAAAAAAACTGAACAAAAGTCTAGAAGATTCAGTTTTAGAACTCTCTCAGTTATATGTGTGTCACAAATAAAATTTTACAAGTTCGAAAATTTAGTCAAGTATTATAACGTTCGATAACTTTTGATAATTTCACTACAATTTAGCACTAATTTTCAAAGTTAAAAAATGTTATAATTTAAATAATTTTAGCAAGTTCAACACACACATACACGACAACAGCTCGATTATGACAACTGTTTGTTCCTTGAAAAACAAAAGTATTTTAGACTTTTGTTCATTTCTGAACCATTTTTGATGATTCAATGTACGGCAGCAAAGTATATTTGCGGATAAATGTTATCATCGTTTGTTTTCAATCCTTTCACTGCGGCGTTATTATTATTTTATGAACTGATGGTTATATTATTTATAATAAATCGTTGTTGTATTTGTTTCTCATAATAATAAATATAGTTATTAGTTATATTATTTGGCATTCTCTCAGAATAATTTCTAGGGAGAATATTTTCATCATCGATGACGTATGGAGAACTTACGAGCGGAGAGACTCTACATATGTACACGAGAGATATGTCGCGCGAATCTTACGTGAATTTTTTGCAAAAATCGATGTGTGGCCGAGAGGTGCACATACATACGCGGCGTCCGCAGCGAAAGGGTCAAAGGATTTGTTTAAACGTTCGTGTGGATATGCGCGTATGAGAGTGTGTGTGTGTGTGCGGTGTCGAGTCAGACAACATTGTGCACAATTTTTAGGATTAAATTGAAATTTCTCAACACGTTTTTGCGATATTTTTTTTCCTGCGACACACACGCGTTTCTACGGACTAATTTTCGACTCCTACGCAAGTGTTTATGTAATATTTTTAAGGGGTAATCGCGTATAACGGTTTTTTTTTTTTGTACAAATATCTTATCTCGCGAAATCTGAGAGATATCGTCTCTAATAATACAATTCTACTATCTATTATATATATTTATCTATTTATTTATTCATTTATTTATTTATCTATATTCACGTCAAACTAGCGTATTAGAGACGTGAGCGATCTTTGGTTTCTTAACGGCGGGTTAAACTGTTCTCCGGGAAATAAAAGTCGAGTCTCGGTAATATAATAACAAGTCACGTTTGTTGTAAATTTATTCCGTTGAAAAACATTATTTTTATCACGCGTGTGTGAGACAAACAAAACGAAAACATATTATATATACCTGCTATATATAATATTTTTGTTTTTTTTTTTTTAATTGTTTTTTGTCAATAATTGTTTTAATTAAAAATTTAAAACAAAAGTGACTTTTTACAACTTGGAACAGTTACACCTCATTCGCGCTGTCTCTAATTTTTTTTACACGAATATCACTTGCCACGGTAACTTCCAATTGCAAACCTGGGCTTCACTCCCTTGTTAATTGAAGAAACTAACGAGCTTTGAAACTGTAGCTTTGTTAAACATTGTGCCGATAATTCTTTTTTTTTTTTTTTTTTTTTTTTTAACATTTAAAGAACGTTTTCTCAGTTCACTTCTTCAATCATCAACATTCGTAGCACTAGATCTAATCTCCTCGCATATTCATTCAAGTTCTCTAAAGTGTAAGACCCATGCAAGCGCACGACTTACATTCACCTTCTTGGAAATGTTACAACATTGAAAACATTGAACTTTGTACGATTTTGTATCTCTCTCTCTTCACGTTCTTAATTAATAAATTATTAATTCTTCTGTTGGATGTTTGATACGTGTGTATGAAAACTCAATACACACATATTTGAAAATTTGCCATTTGTGTTTCCGAAATGGCCGTGCGATCCACTCAAGAATCGCCACGTGCACATTTTTCGTCACTATGACGCGTCAACGTGCGGAACAAAAATCTTCGTCGCACGTACGTTAAATTACATCATGCACTACATTACGTATCTTGCACCATTACATCATGTTGTATCAACCGTTACCCACGGTTTTTCTTCTTCTCTTTTCGTATTCGCACGATTTCTTTATTAGTGCGTGTTCGTCATCTCGAGAGTGTGTGCGCGCGCACCCCATCTCAATGAATTCGCGCGAAGAGAAGTCAGTCAGCGCAATTCCATCGAAAATACATTGGATCACTTTTCTTTCTCTGCAGAAATGATTTTCTCTACCACCAGTATTTCTGCATGTACGGCGCCATGGGAACCTGGCTGCTGCCGGGATACGTCGTCGGTTCCATCAGACTCTTGGACTGGCATGGTTTGCCGTCTCTCACCAGAACCGGCACGGCGACTCTTCTAGGCGAGCAACCGCTTCCGCCGGCCTCGACGCGCTCGCTCGCCGCTCTCTTCGTTTTGTACCTGTGGTTCTGAAACCAGATCTTTACCTGGGTGGGTGTCAAACGTATAATCGAGGCCAGATGTTCCCGTTCGGGCGCGCTCAGATAACGCTGCTGACGGAAGCGTCGCTCGAGCTCGTACGTTTGCGCCTTGGAGAACAAGACCCGTCGCTTTCGCTTCTTGTGCTCGGTCTCGTGAGCTGACTGCGTCGTCTCGTTGCCGGTCTGATGATCGTCCTCGAACTCCTGGGTTTCCTCGTCCTTCGTCGACTCGTGACTGTTCTCCTGCTGCGACGGGTACGACATGTCCGAGATCGCGGGACTCGTCGAGTCCGGCTGCTGGAGAACTGAAACAACGAAGAAACAACGCAAAAAAAAAATGCCAATTAGTATCTTTTGTTTTATCTTGTCACGGAAAAAAAAAATAATATGTCAACTGCGTTTACGTCGGAACTGAAGTTCTCGAAGTTTTATGATTTTGAACAAAAAAATGTATCTTCGAATCCTCGCAACATTCAAAAAATTAAATTTCTCTTCTTTCATTTGTTCATTCGTTATCAAACTGACTTTGTTATTTATTCGCACAAATAAGTTAGATAATTTGTTCAAGATCTGTTTCGCCCGAGAACAAAAGCGCAAATGAAAAAGGATAATGCGTTGAATGCGTGCGAGATTAACAAACTCCAGCTGTATTTTTCGGCTCAGCCGGCGCTGTCGATTGCTCTTAGCGTTGATTACCGGCCAGATGCGGAGGCATTGATTTTTTTAATAGCTTTCCTAATCATCGCGCTGTCAAAAGACTATAATATACCATCTGTAACCGATTAAGTTCGTAAAATCGAGTTCGAAAAATAAATGAAAAACTTTCGTTTGCAAACAATATTTGCGATGCGTGAAACAACTTTAACCACTTGCGGTGCAAAGAAATTCACGGTTGCGCGTGCCAAAAAGACACACATCAACTGATGATAAAATTACATATGTATGAATACTAAATTTATTTATTAATAAATAAATGCGTCACAGTTGACGCGCCACGCACGTCATTTTTCTTTCTGCAACAATCGCCTGACGACGTGTGTAACACGTCGCTGGCGTTCCGGTAATAGAAGCATCTCGACGTGCGTGGCACGTCTTTCCATCGCAAGTGGTTAATTTACAAATAATAATTAATAGAGAAATAATTAATAGAGAATTATTTAATTTATTTTTACGTATAATTAGGAACAGTTAGAGTTATAAAATCTCTCGCTTCCGCCGTTGCGATTCAGCACGACTGTATAAATCGAAGAAGGATATCCCTGTAATGCGCGCAACGCGGCAAAGGATTAAATTTAATCGTTCGCAGAAGATATTACACGATACTGAGAAAATAAACGTCGTTTGCTGACGCGCAACCAGTTAGCGCGAGCAATAATTTCATTCGTCCGATAGCGAGGTGATAAATGTTACGACCCGACCGAGATACCGGCTAATTTAATGTACAATGTCGGGGATACTGGCTTTCGCCCGTAGTACAATATGCTTTTGTGAGCAACCCCCCCTCCCTCCCCCTCCCTAAAGCCCGCGCTCGGGGAGGGTGCGAAACCAATATAAAGCCTATTTAATATCTCCGCGCTGGACCCCATGGGATCAACCATATCATTTTCATGGAAGATTAGATCGTGCTCACACTCGCGCTGTGATTTCAATTAGAACACTACGCGGCCGACTAATGTTTTTTTTTTTTTTAAGAAAGCTGACAAGACAAAGAAAACGCGATCTCTCTCTGTTCTTTTTCAAGTAGAGTTGTTCTCTCGTAACATATTTATCTCTCGACAAACTTCTTGATACAGTCGTTGTTTACATATTTACCTCAACTTTGTTTACACGCACGCACACACATGATAATAAATTTTTCTAAAATTTTACTCAAATTCAAATCAATTTGAAAATTTCAACATTTATTATACAAAACTGATCGCAAATTTCGCAAATATGTGTGTTACGTGGAGAATTACAATTATATATTTACTCTTCCACTCTCTCTTTCTTTTGTCCTTCTTATATAACTTCAAATAGATGCGCACGATTTCTTGAAAAAAAAAACAAAAAAAAAAAAAAAATCACACATCTCATATTTGAATCCTCTTTTCAAATCCTCCTCGTGGATATGCTTCAGTGAAGATCCTGCGTAATGTCATTTGCCGTGTACAAATGTGTACACGTATCCGATACAAAGCGGAGATCCACTCAATCGTGTCTCTCTCTCCCCCCTTCCCTCCTTGCTCTCGCTGCAATAGAGGACCGCAATTATATTCGCGCGCGCTTCTTCTCAACGGTTCGACGTGTCGCCCCCCCGGGATTTTTCGCTCGTTTGGAACCGCGAAGGAAGGTGAGGAAGAAGCGGGATAGGTCGCCGACGAATTTTTTGGGCGTGACGATCTCGATTCATCGCGGGCCGAGGGGGCGCCGTGCTCCCGGGAGTTCCCGTGTGCTCTCGCACACACATCTGTCGTCCCCGTGACGATACATCTGCCCTCTCTCGCGGAGACCAATCGCCGAGTCGAAACCCACGAGAACCTTTTACAGGATCATTAGATCCTGCTTAACCCTCGTGGACCAATTGTAGGGTACTAAATAAATAAGGGCTTCTACCGTGCCCTACCTCGCCGCCCCTCTTTTCCGAAAACATACGTATGTATGTGTGCGCGCTCGTTTCTGTCTTTCTTTTCGCGCGTATCAGCGCGAAGAAAGGGGGGTGAGAAATATTCGCACCGAGAAAAGATCTCTCGCAGAAATGAACGAAGCGCGCGGTGATCGTTTCTTTTTTTTTGTTCGAAGATGCGAGATGAAATAAAATACGCGAAGTAAAACCTATCTACAAAATTTTAATATTTATAAAATTTTTTCCCCTTCCCTTATGTTCCCTTCTTCTATGTACTTCTGTTCTTTATTAAATAAAGGATAATCGTGTTTGACTGCTCTCACCGTTCACTTCCTCCAAGGGTTGGGGTATTGCCGTCGGCAGCGCCGGACCAGTCGGCCAACCTAATAATCCAGGCGGAGGCGGTGGTAGCGTACTCCTGTTCAGATTGCCGTGCATAGCCGGTTGTAACATGGCGGTCGTGTGCTCCAAAAATTGCTGATAAGCCGTCGGCACGTCGGCGGCCGACGGAAGTACCGTCGCAGCGCCTGGAACTGAAAATATTCAACAACATTATTTTCATTTTATGCGTATAAGAGAATAATATATAAGTAAAACTAATGAAAAGAGAGAATCCTACGTCTCTCTTTGTGTTAAGGAACAAAAAAAAAAATCACAAATAACGAAAAGCCATAAATGACTTAAAAGCGACCGAAAGTCGGCCGACACATCCTCGACATTTACGATGTAATAAATGTTTTATTTATTATGTAAATGCGACGTAAATCTTTCTTTCTCAAAACATGGGGAAAGCCAAGAAGAAAGAGAACTTTTGCAAAGTTCTATTTAGAAAAAAAGTAGACGAGTGCGAAGGAAGCATTGTGCGAAAAAAAAAAAAAAAAAAGAAACAATGTTACCTGGCACATCTGTTTCCTCTTGCGACGGCTTAGCGTCGTTCAATTCCAAAATATCACTAATGGCGAAACCCGAGGTCCGAGGTGGCATTTTCATACTCTCGAGCAATCTGCAAAAAAAAACACACATAACGAATTGTGAAAAACTTTATTTATTTGTCAGTTTTATTTAGCTGCAACAAAAGCGTATATATATTAGGTCTATCGGAAAGTTCTGTCCGTTTTTGGAATAAAACAAAATACAAATTTTTCTTAAACCGTCAATAAACTTTATTAAATAATATAATTGCCATTGTTATTAATGATTTCTTGCCAGCGTGAGGGCAATTTGTATATCCCAGTTTTGAAAAATTAAGAAAAATTTCTATTTTGTTTTATTCCAAAAACGGACAGAACTTTCCGGTAGACCTGATATAATTGATACGCGTTTTTCCGCTTAATTAAAGACGAGGGGCGATGAAACGTTCGCGCTTATATGTGCAAGTATTTTTAAACCGATACTCGCGCTTATATTATATTTTTTGTTGTCAACATCGGAGCGCGACTTGTGTTTTTTCAAGAAAAATCTTTACTTGAACTAAAAATGTGATACAACAGAGCGGTCGCGAATGTCGTTTTCTCGGAGGATACTCTTCGATAAACATAACCGGCTGTGCGGGCGGTGCTTTCTGCACAAGTCGAAAAGTCGAAATACAAAGGTCTCGGCTCTTCGGCGGGCTTACAATCCAATTTTACGAAGCCGTAGCATGTCCTCGAGAATCAGTGACGACCATCAAGAGCTACCGACCGCTCTTTTTAAAAAGCCCGATTAGAAAAAGAACGTCTTTCACGGAGTACAATGCCCGTTCCGCATTCAGTCACGTTTTCAGCAACCTGCCGCGAACCTGTTGTGTATGAAAACTGTACGAGAGAGTTTCCGGAGATCCTTTCCTCTCCGAGCCGTTCGTGCTATTATCTCAGCACGTTCGACTTAACGCTTTTCAAATATTTTTCCGACACAAAAAGGTGTGGGATCGTTTTGTCACACAAACCACTTCACAAAATTACTATCCAAAATCGTCAAGTGTAAAATTAGCGAAAAAAATGTGTTGTAATAATTTGAAACTCGTGAGCGTTTTTCTCTCTTTCTCGTGTCGCAAGTTAAATAATGATCGATATAACATTTTGATTGCACTTTAATTAAAATCCAATCTACTCGCTTTTTTCTACTCGCAATATTTTAAAAATTAGTTAGGGGGGGATATTCGAGATTCTTCATATGTGTGATGCAAAATCAGCATCCTATATGATATTTAACCCTCTATGGGCCGAATTTCCCTTTGGTTTTTATCTGCAGACAACTTGCAAGGTATTTATTTTGACATTTCAGGTTGATGGTGCTGCCAACCGTCATCAATATTGTTATTGGTTATTTCAGAGGCATTATATAATTAAGACGTCATCTTGTGAAAAAAACTAAAACTATTTGCTAAAATGTGGATATATTAGCTCGTGACTTGAAAGTTACATGGGCCCATAGAGAGTTAAAGAATTGTAATTTCAATTAAAAAACACTCACGTGAAAAATATTACACGTGAACATATATATATATACATATATATACACATATATATATATTCATTTTCGCACAACATCCTGCGAACGGTTCTTCACGACCTTATATTCATATATTTACTAATCTACTCGTATTTATTTTCAGATCCACAGAATCATCTCCGATAGTCAATTGGAGAAGTTGTTTTTCATAAGAAAGAGTAAACAAGAAACGACAACAAAATGATCGAAGTTATCAAAAGCATTGAAATCACTTGTGAGAATTTATCTTCCGCAATTACCGCTCTTTTATGATGTAACTTGAAAATCTCTTCTCAATTATTAAATCCATTTCTTTGTTACCGGAGCAAACTTTAATCGCACACAGATATGTAATATTTAAATAATTATCGCGCGTGTGTCTGTGTGTGTGTGATATTTATTTACGATCTGTGTAATGTTAGATCGCGGTTTGAGAGCTTATGAAACAAAGATAGCAGATAAAATGTTTAGTTTAGTAGTAAGGAATCTTCGATATTGCGTGTACGGTGTGTAATCAACAAGCGATGCTTGTCATACACTGGGTATGCATCAAGGATATCGATAGCCGACCGGATATCAATACGTGATACCGCACGATAACGCACGATGCGTCTTAATAAACCCGTGTAAAAGATTATAGAAGTCATCAAAATCTAAACTTAATCGTTTTTTTTTTTTTTTTTGCTCCGTGTAATAAACATTGCACGTAGCTGATTCAATTATTAAAATTTTATTTACCTAGTATTTAACAGATGGCTGTACCAAACGTGGTTCAAGAGACCGGCCGGATACGGTAGCAGTGGCCAGGGCAGAAACTTATTCTTGTCCACCATTTTGACGAAAGGTATAAAAAAAAAAAAAAAAAAACGTTATTGCGACAATATTAGCAATTACGCTTTTCGTCGTCGATTCATTTTCGCGTTTTGCAATAAAAAAAGTTCTTCTCTCGGTCACGATTTCAGATAAACACTCAACAACAACAAAATGTCAATTGTCAATTTTGTCTTCTCACTGAGAGAATATATAATTCAAAGTTTTTCACACACCGTTTATATAACTTGGTTACTCTTGCACTCTGAGAAAATGTGTCAAGTTGCTTCACTGCCGCGGTGTTCCCGACTGTGTTCTGGATTTTTGTGCACCTCCAAGTATTTCTTCACGGCTTTGTTTACTTAATTCCTTTCTTCAAAAAAAATTTTTCTATTTGTTCAACTCTTGCGTTATGTTAGTTTGTACCATGTGCTCATCACGAGCGTGTCAGTTCTTTTTTCTTATTTTCTTTCTTTCTTTTTTTTCTCACTCTTGTCACAAACAGATATTGACACTATCACAGTTTTATTTGTTTCAACAACAAGGTTGCGACTTGCGTTCGACAAATAAATAAAAAGATAAAATATCGTTAAAAAGATATTTTAAATACGCGTATAAAAATTCTCGGACACACTGTCTTTCTTCTTTCACGAAACAAGTCGCACTGTCAACCACTGTCAATCACACCTTTCTTCAGGACGGGTAGAGTGAGAAAAGTTCATACACGTACATTACTTAACTTATGTACGGTTGTTGTACAAACTTATATATCGGACAAAAAGAAAATCGCGCGAAAAAGAAAAACAAATTTAAACGAAATGTGATTATCGAGTTTACTTTCGCGACGCGCTGTGTTTTGCACAATGTGTTCTAAAACATCTGTTCTTGAGTATCCTCGTCTTCGAGTATCCTACTTTTTGAGTGTCCTCGACGAGCACTTCAGCGCTAGTGTTCCCTCTACCTTCGTGCGTTTCCCCGTCCCGTTCGTCAAGTATCGTTCTCAAAGCCCAGGGCGGGTTTTACGAGAAGGCGGAGTTTTGAATTCATCCCCTCCAACTAGTAGCGTGCTCACCCCAACGGTGCGTGCGTGCCAAGGTAACCAACACCCTCCGGTGTCTCGATCACCCGTGACGAAAAGTTACGGAAAGTTACCAAAGATTTCCACGGAACGTAGAGAAAAACACCGCTGTTATATTATAAAAATTTAGTTTATTTAACAAATATCTGTAGCGGATAAATAACGTGCACACGTGTCGTGCAACAACGTCGGTTTTTATAAAATAAAATTTTAAAAAAATGAGATTATTTTTTTTTACAGAGATTCAATTTATTTAAAGCACAAGATCTAATTTTTTGTGTTGCAATATATTTCAATTCTGATTTCTTAACTATAAATATATGTAAACTTAAATTTCGTGAGATAGTTACGATCATATGTGCGCGTGTGATTTTTGCTTGCCGTTGGTATTTATTTAACTAAAAAAAATGTTATCTAATTGAAATTTTGCGCGAAGAAAAATAAAAACGTTATTATTAAGCGCACGAGCACAAACGCAACTCGGTACTGCGCGTTCCCCAACCGAGGGGAATATCCTGCGCGCAGGACTCTCCGAGCCGACTGGTAACTTTATCGGGGGTAAGTTACCGGAGGGGTGGTGCTCGTAGGATCGACCAATGGCGGGATCGCGTGTCGGGAAACCCTCGCCCGGCGACCCCCGGGGCTTGATTTCAATCCGGCCCGGTGAGCGGGCCAATCGCCGGGCTTCATCGATCAGGGGGTGCTTTTTACACCGAGAGAGCATACTTTACGTCGAGTGTTAATGTGAAAGAGCATTAGCAGTGCTTTTACCGTGTCATTTCGATTTTTCACCCGCTTCCTCTTCACCCCTTTCACCCTACCCGTCCCTCACATTTCTCTTGCCGTAAGGCACTCAGATAGTGGTCTATTGATACGCAAAACTGGGTTAGGAAGCGTGTTGTCCGCGCAACTTTTACCAGCGAGTGTGTTAGGCAAACACGTACGATCGACCAGCTTGACTCTTGTCCTCTTTTTTGGGGAGGGGGAGGAGGTGGGTTTTGTCGCGGATCGAGAAGTCAGAGAGGGTTACGATTTTGAGAGTATAATTGAAGAAGCGAGCGAGGATGAGAGAGGGGATTATACGCGTGTTCAATTTCACAAGAGAGCCAACGCGTATATCCGCTAAACCGCAAATAACTTTTTTATACGCGGTGTATAGAAAGACGTTTTATTCTGAAAGATGCGTGTCGCTTTTTTTTGTGAATAAAACTTTAAAAAACAATTAAATAAAATAATTTAAAGTGAGAGAATCCTCGGGTTCGTTAGAAATTATCCAATTTAGTACACCGAAAAAATTATATTCTTGTAAGTAGAAGATTTTATACTTAAAAAATCTTCAAGATTTTATAGATGATNTTCTTCTGAAATTAAGAATATATTCTTTATTTAAGAATATAGTCTTTTTCGATAGTGAGATATATATATGTTTTTCTATAGAGGCTTTTTATATTTTAATCAGTATATATTCTTATCAATATTACTATTTAGAGGATTTTCCTCTTAAAATAAGAAACTCTTCTTGGCGCCTGTTTTAGTATAAAATATACTTAAAGTAAGTGGGATATCCTCAAAACAAGAATACAATTTTTTCGGTGTACGAATATGGGGCTGTGAGAAAACCGATTGCAGGATGGTGTGCGGCAAACAAATTCTTGCAATATATCGTCCAGACGTTTCGACTGCTTTATTTTAGTCATCATGAACTCGTCAATTGTATTATTTAACCACTTGCGGTGGAAAGACGCGGTGCCACGCACGTCAAGATGCTTCTGTTACCGGAACGCGACGTGTTACACACGTCGTCAGGCGATTGTTGTGCAGAAAGAAAAACTGACGTGCGTGGCACGTCAACTGTGACGCATTTATTTATTAATAAATAAATTTAGTATTCATACCCGAGTCGAAATTTTGATGCTACTTGCAAACTTTTGAAGATACTTTGAACCTATTTAGCTGACCAATATACTTATTTAAACCTACTTTGACGATTATATTCATTTACTTCTCTTTTGAACCTTTAATTCTATAAATTTTACGTTACTCCTATTTTGAACCTACAAACACTCTCGATATTTTGGTGATTGAAGCAGGTTCTTTTTCCGAGTCGAAATTTTGATGCTACTTTCAAACTTTTGAAGATACTTTGAACCTATTTAGCTGATCAATATACTTTTTTAAACCTACTTTGACGATTATATTCATTTACTTCTCTTTTGAACCTTTAATTCTATAAATTTTACGTTACTCCTATCTAACCTAAAGACATTCTCGATATTTTGGTGATTTTTTATCATCAGTTGATGCGTCTTTTTGGCACGCGCAAACCGCGAATTTCTTTGCACCGCAAGTGGTTAAATAGCGATCCACTGATGATGACTAAAATAGTCGAAACGTCTGGACAATTATATTGCAAGAATTTGTTTACCGCACACCACCCTGCAATCGGTTCTCACACAGCCCCATATTCGTACTGAATTAAAAAATAATATCTAACCGAAGAAGAGCAATTAGATGAGATGAGAAATAAAAAAAATATTTGCGATTATATACACAGTTCGAGAAACACACAGTTAGACCGTGTGCTGTGGTAAAAATTCAGGCGAAAGAAAAGTGTGACGGCTAATTTTACCGCGAGTTTATTATCGCGCGCATTTCGCGTGACAATTATTTCTCCCTTTTTTTTTTCTCCTTTGATAATCGCGATGTTCACACGCGAGAAAAAACGACGCAAGACTGACCTGATTTCATTTTTTTTTTTTTTTCACATACCGCTCGCTTTCTTCGTAGTTTCGAATACGCATTTGTTTCGTCGCGCGGACATGCGAAAAAAAAAACAGAAAAGTTGTATTAAAATAACACACATGGAAGAAGATTGAAGACGTCTCTTTGGCACTGTCAAATAAATTGAGTAAAAAAAAAAAAACAACATCGAGGAGAGACGTTCAGTTCGCGTTTTGTGTTTCAGTTCTAATTTAATTCTTGTAATAAAAAATATACGGCACGGAAAAATATATGCGGCACGGAAAGCCGGAGATTCCAGGTTCGACTCCTGGCCGAGGAGTTTTTTTCGCAATATTTTCAAATTAGTTAGGGGGGTATTTGGGAT